GGGGGTGAAGATATGTGGGGGGTGTCACTTGTTTCTCTCACAATCTCTCTTTCTAATGGCCCTCTAAAATTTAGTTCCAAATGAAAGGTATTCTCTCTTTAAAAATCCCTACCTTCATTTTACCCTTCCACTCTCCCTTATACATTGCTTTCATTTTTAAATCCATTTTCATTTCTCCCTTTCTTCACTCCTATCACATTTTTCTCTTTTTTTTCTTCTAACAAAAAAAAAAAGCAAAAAAAATTAAAAAATTAAAAAAAAAATCTTTTGGTGTTTGATTATTTCCTTTTTTTACTTTCAATCTGTGTTGATCTTGATCTTATAAGGTGATCGTCGTACCTTTTTGGCAATTGAATTTTATTTGGAAATTAGAATGTAACATTATTGAATGACAACAATATTATCAATCTTTTTAGTTTTGCATTAATGCATGTATATAATCTTTATTGTTATTTACGATGTAATTCGTAAATACATTAAGATTTTTATGGGATCTATACAATCTTACATTGTTAGATAATAAGAGAAGGTCGTTTGAAATGATTTGGTCATGTTTGTTGTCAACTTCTAGATATTCCGGTCTGTAGGTGTGAAAATTTATGGTGAATGGACGTGTTAAAAGGGGATAAGATAAATGTATATGGAAGAAAGTTGACTCGAAGGATCTATAAATGACATTCCATTTAACCTAGTGAAAATAGGCACAATGGAAGAAAAAGATACATAGGTTAGATCAATTAGTTGGAATTATGTGTTAGGCATGTCAGTATGTTTACTTTTGGTCCTATGTCTTTGTAGGAGTCTTTTAGTCATGTCAAAGATAAAAAAAAATGTAGAAAACTTCCTAATATTTGTTTCATCTTTATTTTCATTTTAAATAATTTTGGTCTAAGATGAACCTAATGGACCGACATGATAAGTGAAGATTCAGATAGTTGATCCAACTTGCTAGATATTGAACCGTAATTGTTGTATTGTCCTTAGAGTTTGGCATAGCCAGTTGTAGATGAATGTAGTAACTAACAAATATTACATATGAAGTTTAGTGTGAATATCTGGCCGGTCAAGACCTTGCACGTCCAGAAGATGAAGGTAGGGGAAATGAGGATGTTGAGTTGGATGTATGGGCATACTAGGAGAGATAGGATTAGGAACGAAGATATTCAGGACAAGGTGGGAGTGGCCTATTTGGTGGACAAGATGAGGGAGGCGAGGTTAAGGTGGTTCGAGCATGTGAAGAGGAGATACACAGATGTCCTAGTGAGGAGGCGTGAGAGGTTGACTATGGTGGGGTATGAGGAGAGGTAGAGGTAGGCCGAAGAAGTATTGAGGGGAGAGGATATTAGACAAGACATGACTCATCTGCAACTTACCAAAGTCATGACCCTAGATAGGAAGATATGGAGGTCGGGGATTAGGGTAGAAGGTTAGTATAGTTTGCGAGCATTTTCTAGTTTCCCTTGTTTGTATTGTTATTATGACTCTCCTGCATTATTACTGTTATCTTCATTCTTGTATTTCCTTTCCATACTTGATTTTGATATGCTTTACTTGAGCCGAGGCTCTATAGGAAATAACCTCTCTACCTTCACGTAGTATGGGTAAGGCTGCATACACACTACCCTCCCTAAACTCCACTTGTGGGATTATACATGAGTATGTTGTTGTTGTGAATAGGTTCTGTTACTTAGAAACTTTTGTTCACATTGTCTTTTCTCCGTTAAGTGCTCTGTTGTCCCCCGGGCACAGTTTTATTATCCAATGAGTTAGTAACTAATATGTAACTTATGCTAATATGTTCTGTGTTCGCTTGCTTCAGGATTTTAGAGTTGAAGGCTGAGTTTGGTTTGTTTCTCAGTGAATTGTGGGTAGAGATATGGCATCTCAGTCAGCTCGTGTTCCAGCTGAAACTGCAAGCGAAAAGAAGAACCTTCCGAAGGAAAATAAGAAGATGAATAATGATGCAAAGGTTAATGAGCCTATTAAATTTGGCTCTCATGGTACTAAAGAACCAATTAAGGAGGAAGGGAAAAAAGTTCCTGTTACCGCCCTCCGGAAGGATGCAGTTGAGGACTGGCCCGAACCTAAGCAGATCCATTCTTTCTACATTGTAAGATATCGGAGATTTGAAGACCAAAACCTGAAGCCCAAATTTGATCTGGCAGAAAAAGAGCTACAAAAAATGAACAAAGCAAGATTTCAGCTTATTGAAAAATTGCGAGCCAGGAGGGTAAGTTTTGTCCATAAGTCTTCTTTCAGCTGAATGTTGACATTGTTCGTTGTTCTGTTTAATGTGTTTAGAAGAAATTTAAAACAAGAAAATGTTAGAGGCTATGGTATCCTTAGATAGCTATAATCAAGTCAAGAAGACTTTTCCTTTCAGTTTCTTATGAGTTGAAGAGTTTCTAATCATATCATCCTGTTCTCTTGTCTTGTCTTTTGCTTATTAGGCACATAAGCATTCTAGATATACTATTTTCCTTTGGTGTGGTTAATTGCATTGCGTTGAACGCGTGCACATTTCCTGTAAGCATCATTTATATACTTTATCTGTGTGAACCATTGATTTGACTTAAAAGTTCGGTTACACTAATGATGAGAACTTTCATATCTAAGTGGTACTTTGATGCTACCTGTTTACCAAGGACTTTAAAAGATTATTTGGATGTGTCCAAACTTGTGTTTTGGCAGGCAGAACGATCAGAGTTGTTTGGTCAAAGGAAATCTGTGAGTGCTGAGAATCAGGAGTTTTGGACAGTAATCGAAGGGAAGAGAAAGGAAATAAAACCTCTGCAGGATGCCTTGGGAAAGCTCCGTGGTCCTAGGAAAGATGGTCGAGAAGGAGGTGCTGGTCTGTGTTCATCTGAGGTGGACCTTGATAATCTTGTAAGCTCTAGTCTCTTTGTTCTTTTAAGTTCTTATGTTTACTTACTATCGAGGAGTCAAGGAATTTAGGCCAAAATACCAAATGAAAGTAGATCGATTTTTTTTCATTTCTGAAGAGGTGCATATCCTTCATTTTCTTCGTTTCTTCATCAGCTCGGTAATTGAGAACTACCTAACGTTCATTGTTTAACTTTTTATATGGAAATCATTTAGATCAAGAGTCTGCAGTACCGCATTCAGCATGAAAGCATTCCTTTGACAGAAGAGAAGAAAATTCTAAGAGAAATTAAACAACTTGAAGGAACAAGGGGAGAGATTAAAGAAAATGTAGCTCTGAGGGCACAGATTCAGGATTCAATGGGTGAAAAAGAATCAATCCAGAAGCAGGTCAAGGTAACGGTCAGATCTTGTCGTATACATGTACAAATGATGATATTAACTTCATTTTCCCTAGAATGTCATTGTTAACTAACAACACTCACTACTTTGTTGTACTATAGCTTATAAGTGGTGGACTTGACGGGGTTCATAAGGAGCAACAGGCAGTTAAGGCCAAGAGGAAGATACTAGATGAACAGCTCGATGCCAATACCAGCCAGATTAAATCTTTGGATGAGGAATTGAAGGAAATAACAAAGAAGAGGAATGCTGCTTTTGTACGCGTTCAGGAATTGAGAACTCAACGCGAAGAAGCGGTATGATATTCATATATATATGCTATGCATCTGAATAAATGTAATTTATTCTGTTGTTGAATGGTCAATAGATCTAATTTGGTCATGAAACACCTCAATTACTATGTATTTCATTGAAACGAGCTGAAAAGGCATCCATCTTACGGTCTTTATAATCAATATCGTTTCATTTTCTCAGAATGCACCATTCTACAAAAACGTTGCACTGTTGCAAAAGGCAAAATTGCTAGCAGACAAGAAGGATGTTGAAGCCCTTAAAGAATTCTCACTTACTGAGGTACCTTTGATCTGTCTTTAGTTGCTAAATTTGAACATATCAAAATTTTGACACTAGTTGCTAAAACATCAAGTAACTAGTCTGAAACTAAGCAGTCGAATAAGACCCCAATAACATCTCCTGCAGCATGCGAAGAAATGCTAGAAGGCACGTGTGAATGTCATTCAAAGCGAGACTCTTGACCAAAAGGCCAGACAGACCTTAGATCTGTCTTTAGTTGCAAAATTTGAAGTTTTGCATGTTTCTTGCTGACAGTAACTTCGTTTGTTTTCAGGTCGATAAATTCATCTCCCTATGGAGTGGCAAGCCCTTTAGGGATGACTATGAGAGGAGAATTTTGGCATCACTTGATATAAGGCAGTTGAGCAGGGATGGCAGGATGAGGAACCCTGATGAGAAGCGTCTTGTGTTACCACAGGCGCAGACTGTTTCACAGCCTGAGATTGTTGAGAAAACTACTGTGAAACCGTCAAAGGAAGAGTCACTGCCTGCTCAGAAAGTAAACAAGGATAAGAACACCAAGAAGACGAAAGATGCAAGTAGCAAAGTTACGGATACTAAAGAGAAGAACACCAAGAAGCCGAAAGATGCAAGTAACAAAGTTACGGAAACTAACTACATCTTTGATGTTGAAGAGGAGATCCATGGTTTAGAAAAGCAACCCAAGGATGTGAAACCAAAACACAAGGAATCTGATGAAGCAAAATTGAAGGAAATGAAGAGAGAGGAGGAGATTGTGAAAAATCGACAGGCAATGGAGAGGAAGAAGAAGTTGAAAGAGAAAGCAGCTGCTAAAGCAGCAATAAAAGCTCAGAAAGAAGCTGAAAAGAGGAAACTCAAGGAAATTATTCTCATCATTCTACCATTTGTTTCTGCTTTTACGTCGTAGGAATTTACATTTACATTAGTTGTGGACTTATAACACATCTTTTACTCATTTCAGGAACTTGAGAAGATGGCGAAGAAGAACGCTGGAGATTCAGTTACTGAGGAACCAGTTGAAATAGTTGCTGAAGAAGAGAAGTTGGAGGAAAACATTGAAACATCAGCTGCACCTAAGCTTAAGGACCCTAAAGGGAAAGCTGTCAAGAATCGAGCAACACGAGCAAAAAGCACAGAAATTCCTAAAACTATACTTAAGCGCAAACAGGCGATTAACTATTGGCTTTTGGCTGCTCCTGCTGCGCTTGTAGTTCCGCTACTTCTTCTAGCATTCTCACATCTTCTCTAGGATAATATGAAAGTTAAGAAGTAGAGGGGGAAAAACTTGGTATTGCTTAGAGTGTTGCAATATCAAGGTCTATTTTTTGTAATCTCAAATCATGCCTATTTTTTTCAGTCATAATGTTGCTGGTAGATAAGGCATAAGCATGTTTGATTTGGTTGGTGTAGTGGTTTCAAGTTTTGACATTTGCTTAAAGATTTTCATCTTTGGCATTAATTGTAAACATCTAAGTTCTTTATGATCTGCCTACATTCTGTTCATTGAAACAAGGTCTGTTCTCTGTTATGTTGAGTGAAGCTAAGTATGCCTAGACTATTTTTCTAGTTTGCCTTCATGTTGAGAAAGCTATGTTGCTCGAACTCTAGTTTGACTTCGTGTTGGTTTGATAAAGTGTTTTTGTTGAGAAATAGTTTGTGTTTGACCAATAACTTTAAGAAATACTTTTGAACGATAATTTAGTGTTTGGTCAAGCTTTTAAAAGTGTTTCTAAGTGTATCTTTTCGAAAAAAAGTACTATTGGGGAAAAAGTACATTTTGGCTTATGAAAAATAGCCTCAACTGCTCTTTAGAAATACTTATTTTTTTCTCAAAAGCTTGACCGAACACCTGAACTTTTTTAAAATACGTATTATAAGCACTTTTGATCACCCAAAAACTATATAATCTTGAATGTTGCCTCATCGATTTTGAGATCAAGGACGTAGTTCGTGATAGCTCAACACTTTCGTTGGCTCATAGATTTTGAAAGTAGATTTTTTACTTTTGAAATAAAATCAAATATTGTTTGTTCATAAAATTTGATCACTTTCCGGAAAAAAATCAGATTTTAATAAGTTTCGCCTCCACTAAAGGAGGCTTTTCCATAGTTGGGTGTCCGCTTTAGTGTGATTTACAAAGGCTAGGCTAGGTTTGGTAATATCCAAAACAAATGAAAAGAGATCGGGGTCGATAGGTGGCAATTGGCAAGGAACTTGGAAAATTTAAAATATTTTCAACTTCCCCTTCCAAAAACTAATTTTCAACACAAATTCAAAAATTTATTTTTTTTCCCAAATTTTAACTAAATAAATGTATTATTTTTCCCATGATGTGATTTTTCAATATTGAATTATCTCCATTCATCCCAAGTCTTGCCTTATTTTTTACTACCCCAAAATCCCGAACCAATGTGCGCACTACGTGTACCGGCCATGGCTGCCACTGGCTTTGCCGCACAATCGATTCTCCGAAGAGTAGTTCCCTCATTTCTATCTTTTCGCCCCACCACTCATGTCGTCGGAGACGTCTTCTCCGGTACAAACCTCATCCTCCGAACACCTCTACACCCCTCAGGTATGTAAATTTCCTTATTTCTTGCGTGTCTACTTTTTGATGATTTTGTGTCAATTTGTATGGTAATTTTAGCTGAAATAGTTGAGTGCAATGTGAATACCTGACTACTTGTTAAATGGTGTATCTACTATGGACAGAGGCGGAAACAGAATTTGAAGCTTTGATTTTTGTCATCTTTTGTTTAGTTATTGAGTTCTATAATTTGTACGCATAATACATAGATGTGTCATTTAACTTGGTATCATCTCCAATTTTGGGTGTGCACAAGTAGACACTTAAATCTGTATAGAGTTGAACAAGTAGACACACATATCCTACGTGACATCCTACATGTATTATGTCTCGTAGAACGTGTGTGTCTACTTATTCAGCTTTATATAAGTTTAAGTGCTTATTTGTGCACACTCAAAGTCAGCTAACATTGGCATATTATGTCACGTAGAACGTGTGTGTCTACTTATTTAGCTTTATATAAGTTTTAAGTGCTTATTTGTGCACACTCAGAGTCAGCTAACATTGGCATAAAGGCCAAGCTAAATGGTATATTTATGGCCTCTTTCAAAACAGTTTTTGGAATATGCAGCCTACCACAGGCTATTAAGGGTGATGCTGATATTTTACTGAAAGGAGTGGGAGATAAGAACACCATTGAAGATGTGAAACGTATTGTTGAACTGGTACATATACATCTACCAGACCAATCACTCTCCTCTCAATTAACAGTTGAAAATTCTTGTCTAGTTTTTCAACTCTTTGGTCCCTGTTGTAGAAAAAGCTCCAAAACATTGTCCTAAGTCTTAATCTAAACTGATTATCACTTGTGTACTTCTCAGGCAAAACGGGCATCATTAAGACAAGAAGTTTTACATACTGATTTTCTGACTCCGCCCGTCTTAAAAGAGTCAATGCTAGTCTTAGAAAGGTTAGCTGATCTCAAAACAGTTGCACTAGGAGGATACCCAGAGGTTGGACACAGTTTGTTTTACAAACTTGTTTGAGCAATAAAACTGCTTGAATTTATATTTTCTGTCTCCTTAAACAGGCCGAACGATGCCGACTCTCAGTTGGACACCCGGAGGCATTAACAAATGATCCAGATAATGTTGCAGCCTTGAGGTATGTCCTCCTGTCATTGTTCAGTTATGTCTGTTGTTTAAATCAACCAATCAAAAAATCCAATTTTTTATTGTGAAAAGGGATCCTCTTTCCAGTATTTCAGGGAACTTTTCATTTCAACCTTGTTCTCACGGTGATTTCCTTGGTGCAATCCTTGGTACAGGGATTGCAAGGAACAAACTGGGAGATATACTCTTGCAGGTATTTTATTTATTTATTTTTGGGAGGTTTTCTCTATCTCTCTCTTGCAAGTTTTGGCAACACCAAGTTGATTTCATCATTTGTTCAGCTACAAAAAAAAAATATGTAGGAGGATAGAAGTGACAGAGGGTGAAAAATTGTTGATCAAATAGAGGGCTCTTGGGCAGTGAGTTGTGGGCATCACACCTAAGAGAGGATCCACCTCCTTTGTAGCTGTGTAATTATGTACTCCCTCCGTTCCATTTTCCTGGGCCCTTATACTAAAAATAGAGTTTCCTTTTTACTTGTCAATTTTAGCAAATCAGGAGAGATTATTATTTTCTTCTCATATTAATCTTATCATTAGATAAGTATTTGAAGTAATAGTTGTCAAACTTAGATTGTCAAAGTACAATTAATAAGGATAATTTAGTAAACAAACTCCTAATAAATAGTTTCTTAAGAGAAATGTCAAATCAACAAGGGCCAAGTAAAATGGAACATAAAAGATGAGTCAGAACTTATATGTGGAGGTAGTTTATGGTTAAGAAGTAAACTTGTCAAGACTTTGATATGAGTCCTTTGTTTTAGTGTGGAAGTGGTGATTCAAACATCCACAACAAAATGTAGAAGTAGCACAAAGCTTGGTGAATGAAGCAACATCCAAGATAGATTATTGAAATGTCCCTTTAGCACCGAGAACATACTACTAATTTAGCATAGGCTCATAAAAAATAAGAGTATGACAATGCATGCAATTGTGTAAGCCTAGTGTACAATGAAGTGGGAGGAGAACCATGAGGTCTAAGGTTCAAATTCCAGTGGAAGCAAAAAACACAAGGTGATCTCTTTCCATCTGCCTAAACCTTGGGGGACAGAGTTATCCGATACTTGTGTTGGTGGGAGGTAGATGGAATAGTTGAGGTGCCCACAAGTTGGCCTGAATGCTGCCGTCGTAACAAGAAAAAGAAAAGAACCAGAGCACGACAAAGAATCCTTGCTTAGCTACTATCTAAAAGCAAAATGACTCCTAAAACAGAACAGTGGTTGAGCTTCTTTGGAGATTGTTAAATGACTGTTTTCAATTAATATCAAAGTTACGGTTCAGATTGTCTAAGGTTTTTGAATATTTTTTTCTTTTGAAACTATATTTTATTCTTGCTTTCTTTCACACGTTCTGACTAATTAAACCCTCTAGATATTTCATGGTGTTGGTCTTGTGTGCGTATTTGTGTAACTGTTGTGACATATTCCACTTCCCATTTCTTCGAAGAAGTGTTGGGTTATCCTGAACATCTCTTTCTGATGTTTAGGGTGAAAAGGGAGCTCATGTTCTTGTTGTTCCAGAACTTTCTGACTTCCTTGTATCAGCATTGGACAAGGTAACGGTTCTTTGCACATTGCTTCCTCTTACAGTATCGTCCCAATTCTCCACTAGCTTCTACTAGCCAATTAGAGTGAAATTCTAATGTTATTGTGAATATCGACAAATACTGTACGTACTGCCACCATCCTCTTTAGCACATGATATTACATTGAATTGGAGAATGACTGAGCGTGGATTTTCTTCGTAAAAATAGTTTACAGAAATCCCAAAGGAGCAAACAGTTGTAATTTAAAAAAAAATTGGAATGATAAGGCTTTCCACTTAATATTTTCTTTGTAGGTTGGAAATGTTTCTGTCTCTTGCAAGAAGATTCCATTGCTTGCCCTTGAATATGAACCGCCAAGGTTGAAAGTGTTACACTTATAGTTCCTTTGGTTTCTTCCCTTCATACGCAACACATTTTGATCTAGGAAATTTCCACTTTTATTTTACTTTTTCCAGGACAAAGTCCTCAAAATCCATTGAGGCATCATTGAGACTTGATGCTGTAGCTAGTGCAGGATTCAAAGTTTCACGAACTAAAATGGCCAGTTTGATTAGGTAATCCCCCTTTGTATATGTTTTCTCTGTCCAAAATATTTTGCTTGATGTGTGCTTGGCGTGGTGAATGACTACATAATGATCCTTACATTAGTTATTCGTATATGGATAGTTAAAAATTGTTTGCCTCAATTTATGAACCACATGCTATCCGTAATCATTGTCATAAATTTGTGGATAAGCTATCCTTCCCCAAAACAAAGGATCTGCAGAGAAGCTGTCCTTCCAGTACAGTATGACCTTGAAATTATATATATGGTATTCAAATGGGTCCCTTCTATGAAATTTCTTCAACTTCTCATTGATTCCCACATTGTTTAGGTCTTTTCTATACCCTATAGGCTTTAAATTTGGGTTTCATTTTGATTGTCACCTGCAAAAGAGCGAGGTAATTGAAAAGATCCACAACCCATAATCTTTACTAGGTTCAACATCTATGACAATTGCTATAAAGGGAATCTCACTGCATTGCTGTGCATTCTCCCTTGTTTCATAAAAGCAAAACTAATTTCTTGAAGGGACTGAAGAGTCTCTTGCTATGGTGTACTGCTTGAGTTGGCTGTTAGGAAGGATTTATTTCTCCTTGAAGTAGATGCTCGCTCCACGGCAATATAAATGGACGATGCCTCTAGAAGTAGCTTTCTGTGTGAGGAAAGGATGCACAAGCAGAGACATAGATTAGTTCATGCATTATACTGGTGAAAGATCAGGTGAATAATTAACAACTTGAAGGAAGTTGTTATTTGTTAATCACTTCCTAAAAAATAAATCAAAAAGAAAAGAAGATCCAGTAATTTATCGAAAAACATAGTCTTGGGTACAAATCAAAATATTATCCACTCTTTGGTGCGTCTCAGATCCTCCAAAAATAGTTTATTTTGAAGAATCAAGACACGGGTGCGGCAACATTTTTGGAGAGTCCGAGCAACTTAGGTTTACTGTTGTAGTCTCAAAAATTGAATGAATCACTAACAATGTGGATAATATGTTGATTTGTACCCAAGAGTGTGGCCTAGTGGTCAATGAAGTAGGAGGAGAACCATGAGGTCTATGGTTTAAATCTTAGCGGAAGCAAAAAATACTAGGTGGTTTTTCCCCCTGCAAGTTTTTACCAGTACCTGTGCTAATAGGAGGTAGCAGGTACTAAGTGGAATAGTTGCGCTGCGCGCAAGCTGGCACACACATTACCATCATAAAAAGAAGTGTTGATTTCGTTACAGTTTCTATATGTTTTAACTGCTTTGATAATACAGATGTATTTGGCCGAACACATTGTTGCCTAAGTTGATATTGTCTCACTCTATATTGCATGCCTTTTAGTAATGGAGATGTTCGTGTCAATTGGAGCACCGTGACAAAAAGCAATACTACCATTAAGACTGGAGACATGATATCAGTTAGTGGAGAAGGAAGACTTAAAGTAAGTTACTTCTCATAAAATTCTTCCATAGCTGGTAAAGTGATTGAATCAGGATGAACCCCCTTCCCATTTCGCGTGCACACACACACACACAACAAATAACCTATGGATAGAAGTAGTTTTTGCATTAAATTATATAATGCTTTTTCAGTATTGAGTTAAATATTCTCTTCTCATTGGCTCGTTGGTTGCAGAAGCGGATTTGAAGCTTATGGGTTCCTACAATCAAATATGTATAGATATTTAGAATATTTCTCCATACATATACAAGATTTGGGTGAAGGCTATTGGGACCCGTGAACCCATAGATACAGGGCTAGATCCGCCTCTGGTTGGCCAACCAAAGCGCATATACTTATCTCTTCCTATAAGTTCTGACGTTGAAATTCCATTTTTTCAGGACTTCACTTAAAATGTGAACTCCCATTTCCTTAACTACTGGAGTATCCTTTTCCAATATTATCACTCAACTAAGTTCAACCAAAAACATTGTTTCAACTTTCGAAGTTCTCTTTAACCTACAAAACAAAGCTAGCGAATAATAAGTGACTAGAGTAAAAAGTCAAAACAGTAAAGCTTTTGGTTTAAGTTTTTGGATGCCTTGCTATAATGCCAATTTTTTTATAATAGTTTTTAGATTAATTAGGTGATTGTAATTTAGAGATTTCTGCAGGGTATTCATAGGATGAGTGTTGCAGAAATGTGTCTGTTGAGATGGATGGTCGGTGGTACAAGATTAGGAATTATCACATTTGGCTGAAGGTGCAGTAGCACACATGGAGGGATAAAATGAAAAAAAGTCACTCAAGATTATTCATGCTCTAACACATCAATTTGTAGGTGTGAAACCATGGTAATATAAGGTGTTAAAAGGGACAAGGTAGACATAAAATTAGATAGAATGAATTATCCCAAAAGACCTACATATTCTTGGAGTCCATGTAGACTTGGCGCAAAATATAGAACAATAGAAGAAAAAGATCTATACAAGTGATCTAATTAATCGTGATTAGTTTGCAAGGGGGCTGTCTTACTAGAGATTTGCATGCCAATAGAAAAGATAGAGAACTTTTAGTGCCCGAGAACCTTAATCTTCAAATATTTGATTGATTCAAAATTTGATTGGTGAGGTATCATACAGCGGACCCCAACTAGTTTGGGATTGAACTTCTTGTTAGAGAATTTTACTTGGGGCAATAGTTAGGTTTGGTTGAAGAATTCTCATTTTCTATTGAGTCTCTATCAAGACTTCCTTCAGATAAATGCTTAGTTTGTTTGATGATATGACTTCCTTTTCCTGCTAAGTGATTTAATGAAAATGCATACTGGGGATGGTATGCTCAGTGATTTTGGAGGTGTGGGGGTTTATGTTGTGAGAATTACTTGTCGCGAAATCTAGTATATGCAGCCAACCAATGCTAGCTCATTTTGGGGCTTCGAATGGCCTGTCTTACATCCTATAGAGCATTGTTAATGAAATGAGATTGCTGTTTCTGCGACTAATGGATCTCTTGTTCACAGATTGGAGAAATAAGCTCAACAAGGAAGGGAAAGTTCGCTGTTGAGCTCATCCGGTATTTATAAAGCATGAAGTTATTTGGCGATACTGATTACAACAACTTAAAGGCTGCTATAGATACTTATCAAGCCCTCATTTGCCATGCCACCGCGCTCCCTAACCAAAGGCAACACCCAGGGGTACTCAAACCCAAGATCTTTGATTAAGGATGAAGAAGTACTTATCATTCCACCACAACCCTTGTTGCTCATTTGTTACCTTTAGATGTAAATAATTCAAGCCTAGACATCTGATCTTTGAAACAAATGTGAGTGTAAGGAGTAGAGCTATTAACATGGGCTGGTTCGGATTGAGCGGGCCATAGATTTCAACGGCCTAGCTCAACCCAACTATTCATTTGAAAGGGCCTCCAAAATACTAGCTCAATTGAGCCCTAAGCGGGCCAGCGTGAGCTAGCACTAAATTTTATTTTTTTGTCAGAAAAATCTATGAGAAAGTTATTTTCTAGGAAGAAATCTTCTAAGTGTGATTGTGTATCATTATTGTTGTTTTAAATGTTAAAGATTAAAGAATAATATGTATAAAAAACTATATCCTTATTTGTTAATTTTATCAGAAGAGCCTAAGCCGTCAAATTTCTTCTTAAAGAATTATATTATAATGTGTTACTCCATAAAGTACTTCTTTGTCTTTGTTTTGGTAAGTTAGTCTTCAAGAATTTCAATAAAAGTAGATAAAAAGACTTGAGTACAATATTATTTATTTATTGCACCATAAAGTACCATTTACTTTCTTATATATTTTTATCTTGAAGATTTATGTCTAAGGACAATATTTATTACTTCGTAAGATATATATTTACATGGTTATACCAAAATATTATTGGTTCAATGACATACAAAACTTAAAATTTCTAAACAAACTTTTTAAATTTGCATTCTGTTTGTAGTTTAAGAAATAAGTTGGTCTTTTAGGAGTATAAAAGTTGATCCATTTTTTATGAGTACATAATTCAACTTTTTAACTTAATGACTTTTTGTTTACTCATCCTTCTATGTAATAAAATATCAAATTATAAATTAATTGAATGAAGTCAAAAAATCATTACACATTCATGTACTTCAAATGATAATATAATTATATGTTTTACAACATTTTAATTATAGTGGGGCAAAAACATAATCCAATGAACTTTCCAGTTTTAATATAATATGATTACACTCCAAAAGCCACTCTCTGCACACAGTCAGGGCGCCGTTTGCTTGGCATACGAAGCAACCCTGTAATCTGCAGCTCCATCACAGCTCTGCAAAACCTTGCTCTATGCAACATTAAGTCAAGGATCCAGAATAGCCCACAATAACATACAATTATGAAACAAAATCTGAAACAAACAATTCCTGAATGAACCTAAATGGTATATTAACACTTATTGCCAGCAAATGAGAATGAGAGGCTTCATGGAATTTATACAGAACTACAACAAACATAAACCAGGGATACTAGCATGATGTAAAACCATATAAGAATCATGATAAGCATCCAATGAAATTGTTGGTAGAGAGCAAGAGGACTATATACCACATCAATATGGCACCTGTTTTAACAGCAAAGAAAATGCTGAAGAGATAAAAGGATACTGCAACAATGCATCAGAATTGTTTTGAGAAGAGGTGTTCTCCTTTCTTTTCTTCGGTGAGGCCAACTTCTTCAACCCTTTCTTTCCTGAGCTTGAAATAGATGCTTTAAAAGATTGAAACCAGTCATGAAGATTAATGAGATCACCATGCTCTTGAGCCAGTGTATACCTGTGTGAGAGGATTCAAAACAACTTCAGCTCTCCTATTAATCCACGTGAATACAAAAACAAATCATTTTGAATATAAAAACTAATTCTAATGAGAAAAATATAGCATAGCAGCTTCATCACTTGAGAACATATGCAATCTAAAGTAACAAATAGTTGCCAATATATAATATCAAGTTGACTTCAGCCTTCAGAGTACTTCACCTTATATGAACTTGACTCTCCCCAAGAAAATACCACTCCCTCCGTTTCAATTTGTCTTGCTTTATTTTTGAGTTTGTCCATAAAGAGACACCGCCTTCTATATTTAGCAAGTCCCTTTCTTCATTCCAATTTAACCAAACGACATTGCATGTTATAGCCACATATTCATGGCGCATTTTTGGTATATTATAGACACCTTTATTTTGTATGTGGTAAATTATGAAAGATGATTTAAGCTCCACTTTACTTGTAGAAACCTTTTTATGTAAAAAAAAAAGCCCACATGCTGTGATGGCATAACAGGAGTGGTGCGCTGGGTATGACTTGAATCCCAAATAGTGCACACCAAAAAAGAAGTCATGTAAACCTCACATCAGTGAGAAATTTTCCTAACTGAAGTCATTTATGCATACTCAGAAACAAAGTCTATCTGATGCATGCAGAGAAAAAGAATAGAACAGGTAATGATTTCCCCTGCAAGAGACTACAGACCCAGAATACTCAAAGCACTTCTTTCATTGGCAGGAAAGCATACAATATTATTGGAAAAGGGGCACGAAATGTCCATCTAAGTAGCCTAGTTAATCAGGATGAGTATAACATTAGAATGATAGCACGTCAATGAAGGAAAAAAAGTATAAACTAGTCTGCATTGTATTTGGTATATGATCAAGTGACCAAACTTAGGCAACATGCCACCTGGCATGTAAAAGCTCTAATGGAGCATCATTGTAAACAATGAGTAGAGGTGCTCAGAGCAGTCTTACATTATTGAGGTATCATGCACAGATGGTGAAAGTGTACCACCACTATTGCTGCAACATCCACACTTGAGAATTTTGTAGAAATTCAAGAGATCAATTTGAATTCTTCTTCTTGGATCACCAGCCAAAGCCTACATAGAAGCATAAAAACAACTGTAAGCCCATGAATCAACTTGTAATTTCACAATGGTGCTTTTGATGTTAAATACAACTGAAAGAATCACATACATAGGTGACATGGCAAAGCCATACCCCCCAAGGCAGGAGCCAAATACGGGTTCTTTCCCCGGAAAAAGAAAGTTTTTCAGCGGGAGTCTCATCTGGGTGGCTGATCTTTCCCATTTTGCTCTCTTGTTGACTCGAACCCAACATTATGATTGGAGGTAGAGGTTCATTTCCACTAGGCCATCCCTTGTTATCAAAGAATTACGGCCAAAATAAATTGATCTTGACTTATAAATTCACAAAAACATCATACTTACCCTATCTTAATAACCTTGATTTCTGGTTCACCATCGACAAGAAAATAAGAAAAAGAAAAGAAAACTATGGAAAATGCAAAAGCAAGTAATAAACACATTATTTTAGAATTACCAATAGTACCATAAGTTGAACTATCTAACTTCTTGCACATATGAGATCAAAATACAAAGGTATTCCTGAAACTTGGTCTGACTAACGACAAAGTTGATAGCTACAGTTAAGATATCTATTAAACATAGTATAATGCAATCAGCATCAAACTTTACCAGGTTACAAGAACTGTCGCACTTCAAATAGTAATAGTAATTATACTTACTAGGTAACCATGTGCTTGCTGGGAAAAAAGATTGAGGTGAATGAAGCACAAAGGAAATTTTAATTACCAGAAACCCTTAAGTAAGCACGCATGTCTTTAGATTGAAGTGCAGATGATAAATATAGAAGCATACTACTGTGATCGGTCATGTCTTGAATGAAAATCAGGAAACTTAACTGATTGGAGATTGTCAACATCCTTGAAGCAAATAAGTTCATGAAATGGTATACACTCAATGGGCTGCATGGTGTCCCTGTTCCGTAAGCAATTCAACAACAAGTAAGTAGTGGTGAAGAAACTTAAATTTATCTGCTGAAAAGGAATCATCATCCTAAAAATTGAGTCATAAACCTTCACAGGTACAGGCAAAGGGCAATCAAGCATGGTCTGGAACACGAGGGCACATGATAACATCACTTCTTGGGTTCTTTATTTTCCAGATTCTAATGCTTCAGTACAATATCTTAGTAAGACTTCAAAATATAATTTGCAGCACTTTCAGACTCGAAAAATTCAAAACTTTGAGACTTCGATTAAGAAGCACCATTGTGGCAAGCAACTTGCTCATTTTTTTGCAAATGATGTTAAACAGCTGTAACAGTTAACAGTGGTGAAGGACATCATAGAAGTCGCTAGATATTAAGTTACTGTCGATAACAGTTTTTTTCTTGATAAGGAATATAATTTTATTTTTAATGAAAACCTTCGGTATATAAACTGTACAAGAAGTAGTGAGAGGTTGGTGTACTAGCCTTACCCCGACCTTGTGAGGGTAGAGATGCAGTTTTCAATGGACCCCTATTGACTTAGTTGTTGACACTACAAGGATTCTTTATATATCTTTATTGTAAAAGGCAGGTTCAGCTATTTCAAGAAGGATTCTCTGTATAAGGAGTTTTTCTTGTAAAAGGAACACTCTTTATATAGGAGTATTAATCTACAAAGTAATATTTCTGAACAATCAAGCAAAGAGTATTCCAGAATATCATATGAATTATCCTTAAACATATTCTTCTATTTTGATAACAATGAATCTAGACAATTCCAGCCTACATTTACAAATAATTCTCATGATATTCTAACAATAGTACGCAACATTCATGAAACACAAAGTTCCCTATCTTTTATTTACCATTCTAACAAGTCCTAAATAAGAGAGCAGAGGAGGATAATTCTCTTATGTAGATTTGCACATGTATTCACGGTTCTTTATCGCACTTAGAGCTATTTTACAACCTATGGAAGTGACAGAGTATGCACCTGAAGTAGTGTTAAATAGTTCAAATGTTTTTTCATAAATCAGATAAAACATAAATATAGAATTTTTAATTTCCTTTGTATCATGCCCCAAAAGTTCAATCTTAGAGTATCACCATGTCTATGTTCATGGCTGACATGATTCAAGCACCTATGCCTTCTAGTCAAATGATCAGAAAGTATTCCTAATGCTTCTTTACAAAACCTGCATTGTAGCCGACACATCGTCTAAAAGCAGACGTGTGGTAAATTTATACAGATTCACGATCTTTTGCTGGCTAAAGAACATATTGTGCTTAAAAAGAAGTGTAAGAAGAATATTTTCCTATCTGGCACACCATCACAGAAAGGGACCATGATGTAGTTAGACAAAGGACTTTTTCCTCCAAAGGACAGAAAGGAAAGCAAGATAAGGAGAAATCCATCCCCGATATTCCCATTATCAAGCACAGCAATGACAGAAAGGTAGAGATATACAGGTTATGTGCCCCTCCCTACCTTATCATTTGACCTGCTAAAGTCACAGCTTTGTCATTTGATGTGCATGCATCTTTCTCCACATTTAAACAGCGTCGATTGATATGTCTCCTGTTACACAAGTCATAATATCGTAAATTGAAGAAAAAGATTTAAGATATATTCAGAAGAATCACAACTACTTGTACCGAAGTATATCTACTTGTTTGGTTCCATAATGTGGAAGGGTAAAGGAGGAAATTAATGCATTTACTTCCCTAGGTGGAGTATAAGGCATATACATCCAATGGGTGGAAAAACTGACATGGAGGGTACTAACCCCTTCACTTTTTCTTTCTCTCCTCTTTGACTTGCTTATACACATAACTTTCCTCACAACCTTCACCCCAAGTCACCAACCATAAGGTTCCAAAATCTATAGAGCAGATTAATGGACTTAAATTGGCCATCTGGACTTCACAGTGCAAAACTTTTTTTGGCAGGAGAACAGCATTCCAACATGCAGTAATAAAATTACAAGAGATGCTAACCCACAGGTTATAACAACCTTAATACAGTTATCTAGCAATAAGTGGCACTCCTATATATTAAATCTTGCCCAAGGACAAATGACATGCCAGAAAGCGGAAACAAAATCTTACAACTCAACAAATTGTGTGAAGTTATCCTTACAATGCTGCAAGGATAGAACACATACAGTTATGGATTCACCACATACTTTGATATATCAGTTAATTCTGCTTTGTGACTTTTGACATCCTCTGATACCATTTGAGACTGTAGCTCCATAATCTTCTCATGAACCTGAAGCAATGACCAGAGAGTTGTAAAATGACTGAGCACAGCAGTATATCAGAACTCACTCGATGTAAGTTGTAGCATCAAGTAAAATGGTAAGATGAAACTGCTGCAGAAGAATCAGAAAATTTAGGACATCCACTACAAGATAAACATGGAAAATCAAACAGATAAGTTAATCCAAATCTGATTTCTGCTGTAAGATGAGATTTCTCAGTATCCTTTCCACCCAGAGGCAATTCAATAACCTACTTATCATTGAAATCTTATTCAATCACCAATGAGGAAAGATGGGATAGAAAGAAAAGATCATTAAAGCATGCATGACCTGGGAAAACTTTTGAAGACGTTTCCTAACCATGAAAACAGTTCCTTCAACTCCAAAATAAAATATGTTTGCCACTTCATATGCTTTCTGATTGACAGTACATTTGGTTAGCTGCTTCTATTTTCTAGCTTTTTTTCCCTCAGTGCATGGGCATTTAGTTCTCCTTTTCTTAAGTATTAACATGTCTCATTGACCAATTACATTTTTTCATATTTATTCCTATAAACATAAAATCCATATGAACACCAACCTAATTGCATTGTTTCCTATAACTGCTATAAAGGGGTTTGCCGCTTAAAATGAACTGGCAGTAATTATACCTCCATTGTCCCTTTGGTGAGCCTCTCCCAACTCTTAAGCAACTGGGATAGCTTCGCAGCTGGTAGATCCCTGGTTCATCAAAAACTCAAGCATCATGCGCAACATTTGGTTGGGGGAGAAGGGTTGGAGGAATAAGATAAAAGATACAGGAACTTTTAACACAAGGAATCATCTGAATCCTTTTCAGTTTTTCTGCAAACACCATTTTCGCTAAAGAATCTAATTATGGATGGAGTAGTTTTCTCCTTACAGCCATAAAGAATAGAGTACTGGAATAAAATTCCATCTGCATGGAATTTCTTAGTTTACTTTCCAGGTGAAGTAAAGAACAAGTTAATGCTGAGTGTAGAAATAAGGGTAAGACTTGCAACTACCTTATTTTGCGGATGACTTGATTGGTAACCTCAGCCTTTTGTAGCTTGAAAAGTTTATCATTATTTGACAACAAGCTCCTATCTTTTGCACTATCACAGCCTTGATTAGATAACCTGGAGTTGTATAACTCAGGATCTAATGCCTCCAAATACAAGTCCAGCAATGCAACTTTATGGTACCTTCCAGCTTCATATAAACACTAAAATAATATTTTAGTCACGAAATAGATATCTTCCCCATATTGCACAAATAACTAGCTTTTTTATTCAATGCCATAATTTGGCATGTCTATAATATTCAGGAAGCAAATAGAAACAATTATAGAAAAACAAAGAGATTCATTAGATATTAGCTATCAGACCTTAAAATTTGTAAGAGACTCCAATAATCTAAGAAGAGAAAATGGAAGAAGAGATTGCATATATTGAGGGGGTGGCAAGTCTTGAAGGAAGAAATAATGAAAGAAGCGCAAACTTCGATCTTTCTTCTGGCTATCAACACCAAACAGTAGAATCTAAAGAAGATTAAAGAAGATCCAAAAAAGATGTAGCCATTTATTTGAAGAACTCAACCAATAACTAACTAATACCATATAGAATGGGGTTTCAACTCCATAACTGTGGTATTAGATAACATGTTCACCAGGGAACTGTGGGATAACATCATAACTTTTTAGAGAACTTCAATGATGACACTGAGAGCTGCAAAGGAACTAAGCAGTTTCTACTTCCAGATATATTTAGCTACATTTATTAATTAAAAAAAAATGATGAAGCCATTCCAGCTTTAAGTTATTGAGAAATTTTAACAGGGGCATTTTTTTTATCAGGTAAACAATTTCATTATTCACAAGGCCAAAGTCGGCTGTATACAAGAAGTATTACCAAAACAGTAACCTACAAAAAGACATGGAGCATTGAAAAGTTGTGGGATGATTTTCCAAATCTTGTCATCGCCTGAATTAGGAACCAGCATGAATTACATTAATCGTAAAGGCCCAATGTATAATAAAATCTTACCATAAGGCGAGATCTCCATAGTTCCTGCAGCCTCTGCATTTCTGATAGTCCATGGCCTAGACTCATAGCATTTAGTTCTACATGATTATTCCTGGTAAGATGATTCATGGGCTATTTAGAGATATTCTCCTCTAATATGAAGTACACTTTTAATCATTAAAAAGGGGCATATTATGTTACAAACCGATTTACTGAATATTTCCTGTAAGATGGAAGCTCAAAAGAATGCTTTATCAATTCCTCTGGCAAATTAGCAAGATCCTCATACCATGACCTCTGTAAAGGTTTAACAATCGTAGGGAAAAAAATAATTATACAAAGTTGTCACTTATATGATGCAACTTGATCTTCACATGGTAACCATGTGAATGTAACAACCACTAATAATACATGTTAGAGCAGAATATCAATAGCAAAATGGCCTAACTATCATTCCACAGTATCTGACATCATGGACATAACCTGCAATTGTAAGTTGGTTTAGGTCACAGCCTGAAACATTCTAACCAAGTTGGGATGTTTCACCTATTCAATCTCAACAACTACGAAGGCTCTAAGAACAAGGAAAATATATGGACTAAATCCTATAGAAGCCAGAGTACGGAAGTTTATCTCTTTCAAGGAAATATTTGATCCCCCATTTAGATCAAGACACCAACCAAACAGAAATACAATAGAACCAAGCATATGTCAAGTTTGAGAAGTAGCATTCACCTTACTATCTCCCTCATCAACTAAAAGCTTGAGCACAAAGCTAAGAGGCTCGATGGAAAGTTGTTGGATTATTGCCATCTGGAGAAACCATTATGTTAGTTGTAAGTATATGATTGGGTACATATGTACATTCAAATTTCTAATCAAGTAGAGCCGAAAAACACATGATGGGTATAGTTCTAATGTATAATTACAAGAAAACAAAAATATGTTTCAGACCTTTAAGGCTCTAACAAATGAAGTAACAGTTCCATCTTGTCTCAAAAAATAGTTCCTCAAGAAAGTCGCCACCTTGTGGCCAACACTGAAGCCAGCACAATTTTTTACTAGAACAGCCTCAATGATTGTATCCAACTTTTCAGCTGGGCATTTCAGAGAGAATATTGATGTAGACAAATATTGAAGTGCACGAGCAGTGAGCACATTTCTGGGAGCATCAGCACTTGTAGCAACACCAGCAATTAGGATGATTGGAATCTTAACAGACCATTCACTGATAAAAGCAGACATTACTTATAAGAACCATAATACAGAAGTGGTTTTATATGTAAGAACAGCTATATACTTTGGTAAATGAACTTTAAAATAGAAAGGAAATTGAGGTAAAGCTCAGGCACAAAATCATGCAGTCAATACGTACACCATAAATAATTTGTTTGTAGCAAGTGCAATTATATCAACTTTATCCCTAAAACAAGCATATTCCTCCTTTGACCAAACTAAGAAAAGGTTTTTCCCTTTCTTAAGGTACTTAAAATGCATCAAAATTAGAGATAATTTATGCATAACTCTGATTTGATGCCTCATACTTTTGTTCCAGCTTTTGTCAGCACTGCAGCAGAAAACTCCATTTTTTTTTATAACTGAGAAATCCGTCTATGACCCGTCCTTTGGACCAATCACAGCCTTCTAAACTATGTGGATAATGGACCCGCCCCTCTACCCTTCTCCATTTAAATACCAAGCTTCGCTTTGCATGGTGTGGGGCTTGAACCTGCGACCTAAGCCACAAATCCTCCACGTTTTGCCACTCGAGCTAGGCCTTGGGGGCAGCAGAAAACTCCATTTTTAATTTGGAGTATGTATTATTGCCAGTCACATAGCTTTGATAAATGTAGTAGACAAGGTATGGGAGAATTTTTAGTTTCTTATTCAAAGATGTACAGTATAAATAAGTTTACACTGGGTTCTAACTAAGGGAAGACTAAAAATACAAATCCTTTGAATCTTCTAATATTTGCTACTATGTACATTATACCAAAGGATGTATACATACAGCTAGAACACTCCCCTTCAAGATGTAACATAAATATTCATCATACTCAACTTGTTACAAAAGTAATCAACTCGAGTTCTGATCAACACCTTCGTGAACAAATCAACTAGTTGCTATGTTGTCTTTATGTAGCCAATGGGAATATTTTCAAGAATAATGACAATCAACATCAGTTCCTCATAGGAGTTCTAGAAGTCCATGAAAAAGCCGTCACATATTAATCCCCTTTTCTCAACACAATAGAAACTCTTGCACACATCATAAACTCGAGATGTATTCACTTTGTTAGAATATAAAAACTCCAAATAATCCATTAATCCTTTGAGAAGTTCACAATGCATAGTCAAATCAACTTCACTATCAATAAGATTTAGTGGAATTCACTGGGTATGTTGTTGTTGTTGTAATCATGCATCATCTCTCATCTGTGTTTATTTTAGAGCCTGTTTGATGGGCTTATAGCTTTTGGCTTATTTTTGTCTTTTCAGCTGCAAAACAAGTGCTTATATGCACTTTTTTATTTTACCCAATCACTACCAAAGAGTTTAAAAGCTATTTTGGCATAAAAGCACTTAAAATAAGCCAATTCAAACAGGCTCTTAGTTTCATTTGTAGGTGGCCTTCAACCAAATGGTCATAAACCCAATAGTCTTACTTCATCTCAATTTTATTTTGTTTTGAAATTGGTAACTAAAGTCTTAGTTGAAAATAATTAGAACCATATAGTCTATGTTCTGTAATTTTTGACACACAGACTTGTTATCCACCATTTTAAACAAATCTACAGTAGCCAAAACAAATACTGAAAGAGAAACCATACAGGCAGCAACCAACAAAACTTTCACAAAAATCGAATCAGATCTTCAAGTTCCAAAATTCAGCAACAAAATTCTAATGACATACCTGCAGAAACCAGATTCTAGTAACAAAATTTTAACTAAAAAACAAAAGCAGGATGAGGCAAAATGATCTGGGTCCTTTAAATTAATATCAAATCTCCACGTGTCTATTTTAAGGCTGGGACCCAGACATTTAATGGATAAGCCGATAAGGAATATTATTGGCTCAAAGCATAACAGTAAGGATATGTATAATAGTGAAACGGAGGATAAGTATGAAAATAATTTGAAAGTAAAGGGGTAAATATGACCCTTTTCCGTAATTAAAATTGTAAAATACACCATCTCGAAGAAGCTCTGTGCAACTCTTGCTTTAATTATGCTTGAAAAGTAGATAGCTATGGTGTAAAAAGGAGATATGCTGACAATATATGACGGTACCTTAACATATTGATGAAATCTGACAAGAGAGCCCCAGAACACCTCTCCATATCCTCAATAATTACAACCACTGGTTTCTCATACTTGCCATGGTCACTATACCATGATGCTAAGAGCGAAATATCAGCTGCCTTAGAATCAAAAACAAGAATGATAGTGAATAACAATAAAGATGTCACACAAGATTTAGTTCTACTTAAATATGTGCATAATTATAGACTTAAATTGTCGACTTACTTCAATGTCAACCATAAGCAATTGTCTCAGAAACGCTCTGAGACTGCCCCCAATGCCATTCTTGGTAGAAAAATCCAAGGAGGAAATATTAGCCACATAGCATCCACGAGATTTCAAGTTTAAACCAAGTTCAGCAAAAGTTAATATGTCATCGACAGTTTCAATATTCTCTGCAAAAAATCCAAGAATGTACTGATCAACACGAGTGAACTACTACCCATTGATAAAATATTATCAACAGGAACACTGCAGGTAGAGTTGCGAATTGGAAATCAGGGTTAGATGGTCAGGCCATAATTCACACAATTGAACAACATTCTTGAAAAGAAACACGACAAATTTATGGGAGGAGTTGAGATAAGTCTTTTCTGAAAAACAAAATAGAAGATTTCAGATATTGGTTACCATCAGCATTGTTTCATATCTGCAAACTAAACATCTAAAAGAAATGAAAAATGAACTTACTGGTGAAGACCAGACCAGTGAAGAGCTTTTTAACTAAACCACCATTATGAACAAAAGGGTATGGAAGACTTGACTTTGATGGATCAACAGGCCCTCTACACGAACAAATTTCATTAAAAGATTCACGAACCCATTGTCCTATCTCATCAAACACGTCGGCATTTATACTCCTCAAGACATCCTAAATTCAATTCTCAAACAACAAGAAACAAGCAATTTAGCATCACTTAATTCACACTCAATTGGACTAACGAAAATATCTATAACATTTCAGGAAACAAAATTGGGAAAGAAGAACCTTAATCTTGGATTCAATTTTTGACCATACACACTGAAAAGCTTCCATTTTCACGTTCTCATTGTTTAATGATACTTTTGGTGAAGAGTCAAGTCTTCTTTTGGTAGGTCTTCCGGGAGATATTGCAGTAGACTCTGAAGACTTTGATGCCTTGTGCAGCACGAAGAATGGCTATGAATTTCCACAGGAGCAAACATCCAAAAGCAGTTACATTCTCTAAGCAAAATATTTATAAAAATAAAAAAGTGGAAATTGGATAAAGTAGTATTGCTATAAACCTGAAGATTGTTTTCAGCAAGTGGGTCTGTGTGAGTATGTTCATTTGGTGAATACATTTCTGAAAGAGAGTAGACATCAGTATTCAGGATTAGAGTAAGCTGGCTAAAGTCTACTATAGTTAACAGTGACCTCAATGCTACAACAACTGAATTAAGTAACAAGTTAGACAACAACCACCAAACAAAATCGATAACAAGTAATGATTTTCAATACAATATTAAATAAATGAAAGAGCTCTCAAGTAACAATTTTTTTCTTGAAAGAAGGGTGACTACTAGGACTGGGCATTCTTTCAGTTCAGTTTGGTTTCTTCACTTTCTCAGTTTTCGGTTGGTGAAAAAGTTAACCGAAACTGAACTGAAATAAATTCGGGTTCAGTTCAGATTATTCAGTTTTCCCTTTGTGAAATTACTCTGTGCACAAACAAAACGATAATGAACATTCAAACAATCAAGTCGAGCGAGAAGACAGAAACTAACAACACAAAAATAATCAAATGTGGCAATTTCTGGTTTCTGCTAGGGATGGGCATTCAGTTCTTCGGTTCGGTTATGTAAAAGTTCAAACTTTTTTCAGTGCAAGTGAGAAATAAAATGAGAACAAAATTATAAAAATGTTTAACTTAACATGAAACTAATACATTCAATACTGCCAACAATCAATAACTTCTAGCAGTAACATCATTCAACAACACAATCCAATAAAAAAAAAATACTACCAGGCATCAAGCCAGCAACACAGTTTTTTCCTACTTGTGCTGAGAAGAGAGACTGAGAGATACACTGCCTTCTGGTCGCCGGCGATTGCTGCTCCGGTGAGAGTGAGAGGCGGTTGTTGCCTTATTGGCTGCTGCTGAGCGCGCGAAAAGAAGTGAGAACAGAAAAGTGAATCAGATGAGTTCTTCTTTCAATGCAAATAGGGCTTGGGTTAAACTTAAATCTTAAATGGGTTGGGTTTTAAAATTGAAATGTTTTGGGTCAAAATATATAATTAAATGTAATTTAAAATATATTTAATAATTTTTTTATTATTCGTTGCATCAAAGTATCGTGATCCTTACATTAAATATCGAATCATGAACTGAATTTTTGGATAAAGAAAATTGAATCGAAGAATCGAAATTTCTACATTTTTTGATATATTTATGTATTTTTATAGTTTCTTCAATATTTGGCCGTATGTATAATCTTATAAAATAAATGTTAATTAATTTAGTTTAAAATATAAGTTTATTACATATCAATTGACTCCATCGGAGAGGGATGTTGTTAACCATACGCATTGTTAGATCTTGTAGTATTAAAATTATTCACGTGGACAAAAGAATATTGATAGTTCATTTTAAACAAGTCATCAAATTGTGTAGCCAAGTTAGAACAATCAATTGATTGCGGGTCATATCTTTCATAATTTGTTTTTGGACTATACCTTTAAAGAATCTATATTCAAATTGAAAAAAAAAATTGTATCACAAAGATCAAACTCATTATATTTTAAACAATACGAAACCGTTCTACTAACCATACATGTCAATCGTCCGTTAATCAATGCGACTAGCAAAAGTTTAAAAAATAAGAATCAGAATTTCAAATAGCAGTTACTCCTAAAATGAAATGTTCATCAGACGTAAAATAAATTAGACATTGATCATATATAATCACTATATTTTTCGGGATCACCAACCACTACATAGGATCAACTATATCTCATACAACCAATTTCGTGTAAAATTTAACTTCCCCAATATTGATACCTTATTATCATTTATCTTTAAAATTAAAATAAAAAATCGCAAAATATTTAAAGTAAGAACTACAATTTTTATTTTTTTAACTTTGTAGTGAAATTGTATTCATAAAATGTTCAACATGCAAATATATATAAATACCTCTACCTCATATTTCTACGAGAAATATTTTTACGACTTAAACTCATGACGTCTTGATTCACTCGTTACTCTGAACATCTTAATAATATAGTAGAAAATAAAAAATATACCCCCAAATCCTATCCCTATACAACTCAGCTCGAAAATACGCCTATCTCCCCCTCTTTATCCTTGTTTTTCTCTTCTTCTTCTTCTTCAACGAGTTGAATGTTTGAGCAATGTCTCGAGGGACTGATCGGTTACTGAAGAATTTGAAGCAATTCTCTGACCTTCAGTACAAGTACTTCACTAGCCGCTATGGACAGCAACTCATTGACATATTCGAATTTCCAATAAAGCTTGTTCTCTCACCTATTACACTTGCTTATGACATTGCCGGCTCTGCTCCGAGAGGTTTCGGTGTGCCTGAATTCATCTCTAAGCTGTCTTATTCGACCATCTTTGTAAGTTCACCGCACTTTCTTGTATGTAATTGGAGAAGTGTAACTTTCTGCTTTTTTTTATCGTTCAGTGTTTGTTTATATGTCTCTGAGAGGCTGTGAATGGGATAGTATGTTTTATAGAATTTCTGAACTGGGTCTTCAAATATATGTTCATGTTTCACTGAAAAGGCCTTGAATGGGGAAGGTAATTGTCAGTGCTTTACGAACTGGTTTGTTAAGTGTTTGTTTATATGTTACTGAGAGACCATGAATGGGACAGTCTTTTGATTAGCATTTCTGAATTGGGTCTTCAAATGTATGTTCATGTGTCACTGAAAAGGCTTCGAGTGGGCGAGCCATTTGCCAGTGTTTTATGAATATGAACTGGGGTGTTAATTAAGTTGGAGAAGTGCAACTGTCACTGCAAGCTCACCACACTCTCTTGTCCATAACTGGAAAAGTATAATTATCTGCATTTATTCCTGAATTGGGTCTTTATATGTTCGTTCATATGTCGTTGAGACCATGAATGGGACAGTCTATTTGTTAGAACTTCTGAATTGGGTCTTCAAATTTATGTTCATGTTTCACTGAAAAGTCCTTGAATGGGAGAGCCAATTGTCAGTGTTTTCTGAACTGGGGTGTTAATTAAGTTGGAGAAGTGCAACTGTCAACATTTTTTTTACTTAATGGGACGTTAAGTGTTTGTTTATATGTCAGTGAGAGACAGTGAATGGGACAGTATAGTTGTTAGAATTTCTGAATTGGGTCTTCAAATATATGCTCATGTGGCACTGAAAGGCCTTGAATGGGGAAGCTAATTGGCAGTGTTTTCTGAACTGGGTCGTTAAATGTTTGTTTATATGTTCCTGAGAGACCATGAATGGGATAGTCTGTTTGTTAGAATTTCTGAACTGGGTCTTCAAATTTATGTTCATGTTTCACTGAAAGGCCTCGAGTGGGGAAGATAATTGTCAGTGTTCTATGAACTGGGGCGTTAATTTAGTTGTTCATATGTAACTGTAAGCTCACCACACTTTATTGTCCATTACTGGAGAAGCATAATTGTCTGCATTTCTTCCTGAATTGGGTCTTTGTTCATATGTCACTAAGAGACCATGAATGGAACACAGTCTAGTTGTTAGAATTTCTGAATTGGGTCTTCAAGTATATGTTCATGTTTCACTGAAAGACCTCGAATGGGGAAGCCAATTGTCAGTGTCTTATGAACTGGGGCGTTAATTTAGTTGTTCATAAGTCACTGTAAGCTCACCACTCTTTCTCGTCCATAACTTGAGAAGCATTGTTGTCTGCATTTCTTCCTGATTTGGGTCTTGATATGTTTGTTCATATGTCACTGAGAGACCATGAATGGGACAGTCTAGTTGTTAGAATTTCTGTACTGGGTATTCAAATATATGTTCATGTTTCACTGGAAGGCCTCGAATGAATGGGACAGTCTAGTTGTTAGAATTTCTGAAATGGGTATTCAAATATATGTTCATATTTCACTGGAAGACCTCTAATGGGGGAGCCAATTGTCAGTGTTTCATGTAATGGGGCGTTAATTTAGTTGTTCATATGCCACTGAGAGGCTATAAATGGGGAAATCTAGTTGGCTTTTTTTATTTTTAAAAAAATTCTGAATTGGATCTTCAACCGGTTTGCTCATATGTCAACTGTGAGGCTATGAATTGGAAAACCTACCTTTTTCTTTTTCCATTTTTCAGAACTGCGTCTTTGAATGTTTGTTCATATATCACTAGGAGCCCATGAATAGGAAGTTTTTTTCAGCATTCCCTGGATTGAGTCTTCAAGTAATATGTAAGAGAGGTGATGACCTGAGATTAATACAAGGACTTTTAAGCTGATAGTAGTTGTTCAATGAAGGTTTCTCCTAACAGAGATATTTGGTGTTTTACTGCAGGTGGTGGCTACACTGGGTACTTATGACATTGCAATGGAGCTCGGAAAGAAGGTGATCAGCCAGAGGTGCCCTTATAGTCTCGGCTCATGTTAACTTTTTGTTAGAATTTATATTCCTGAAGTTGGTGTCTTATATTAGAAATAATGAAATTGATAAATGGTTCATGTCAAAAGTTTTGTTTTTTTGCTGATTTATGCACATTGTGCGTATAAGGGCATCGAAAGATTTATAAAGGTATTGGGGCAACTCCATCCATTACCTCAAGGAATAGGCTTGGATGCTCACATTCTTTCATAGGTTTGGTGTGTCAATCCATGTTTTACTTTACAATGGACTATGAGCTTGAAAGATATCAGACATTTGTCTTCTGTGCTCATTGGTGGTCTCGATGTCCTTATGCAAAAGCTGATGTGGTAATCACAAATTGAAGTGAAAGTCAGAGAGCATCTTATTTGTCCCTACTGAGGGGAAACTGAAATGCTTGTCAAATTTATAGTCAACTGGCATGTCTTGATATGGAAGGTGATGACATGTGTAGTTGAAAGAAGATGCTTGGTTCATTGACTGCAGGGACTGCCGGACATGCAGTGGATGGCAGGCATTGCAGTGCACAATGTGCAAAGGATCAGGCAAAGTGCATTACCAAGTGAAAAACTACACATTGAAAAGGTAGGTAATCATTGATATACTTGTGCTCTTGCTGTTAAAATGAACATCCTGTTCACATTTTATGTATTAATCCAATTTCTAGAACAATATTGTGGTCTTTGTCATATTCTAAACTGCATACTCTTAAAAGATACACTGAGGTGCTTTCACCCCCTTCTTCTCCCACGTCCTATGTGACTGTTAAAAACACATTCTAGTCTTCAGGTTTATTATTTCGGATTCAGCAATGACAGTATCTCGTGTAATTGCTGTTGGTAGCTCAAAGTGTCACCATCATCATGTTGGTGTACTGAACCACCTTCTTCTTGTTTTATGTTATTAATCATCATAGTTGTGAAAAATCATAAATTGCTCTAGGGACGGGAAGATAATGTCAAACACACTGAATACTTATGTCTATTTAAAGCTTCCAAACTACTGCTACAGGGGAGAAAAAGCCACAGCTGAATCCATTGCTGATGCGATAGCTGATAACAGAGCTGAGTTGGTGCACCTTCCTTCCACAGTGGACCTTCACTTGCCACTGCCATCTAAAGAATGTCCCAGTTGTGATGGATCGGTGAGAACTGTTTTGGGAAGTTTTTCAATTTTCATAATATAGCTTAAGGGCTGAAATGAACTGAGTGAGTCATGCCAGTAGTTCTTTTGGCTTGAGAAACTATCCAAAACGCTAAGGTAAAGAAAATAGAGTTTCATTTGTTATGGAAAGCCAAGTTGAGAAGTAAAGCCAAGCCTAACCAGAAATCAACTTGGCTCATGTTATTTATGTGGCATGTATATGTATTTTCATTCAGTGTTGTCAAAGGCTCGTGTGAAGCGTGTTAAGACCTGAAGCAAGGCACAAAACATGCTGAGCACTTTGCCTCGCTTAGTGGGGCGCTTCAGTGTAGTGATTGAGGCTCCAAGGCATACTTGATACTTTTCCCTACCATGAGTGTTATCCTGAAGAGGCAACATTAAACAATTGATATTTACTTTATCTTAATTTCTTTGTCCATTGATTTGTTATTCATGCTTTAGA